ATCTGGAGGCTCTTGATAATCTTAAAGTTCTGCAGCTGAAGGGCAATCCTTGGAGATGTGACTGTCATCTGATAGGACTCAAACTATGGTTGGAGACATTTGCCTTCAAAGGTAACAACATGGTCGAATCCACAATAGAGTGTTTATTCAAAAAAAAATAAATAATAATAATACATAGCTAAAAATATATATATTTTTTTTTCTCACAAATGAAGAATGTAGGTAAGAATATTTCGAAATGATGACAATTCTGCCGAAATATATGTTTATTTATATTGGTATTATTATATATTATTACCAAAAGCAAAAATCTGAATAATTTCTCATTTTCTATCACAGAGAAAAAAGTCAGTGATAAGCCCTTTGTAAAGTTTAGCTTGAGTGTCCTGTCTTGCACTCTGCCAGTGCTATTCTTTTCTAGGTAGGTGTGAATGAGTTAATCGTGTTGAAAGGGAAACAGGTCAATTTAGCTCAAAGGGAATTGTGATATTTATAGGGAATCACTGTTCTACGGCTGATCAACTGAATTGCCAGTGATTTATTGAACCGGCCGTATAACATCAACTCTGCAATGGATATTAATATCCAAAGTATAATGAAAACATTATTTATTAGCATGTTAACAAGATCGGCAGTTTAAGACATTAACTTGTAACAAGATGCTTCTCTTTTCTAGATAAATAAGACTTTATTGGACTAATCAAAGACATATAAACTAATCTAACATATAAACACACGCACTCACACATTCACAGAAGTTGCAGAAATAGAGAAAGTGGGAAAAGAATGAGTTCAAGTGAGTGAAAATGTGAAATCCCCAGTTTATTGTAACATATGCAATTTCTTAGACCTGAACAACCATCAATCATTTAATTAACCCTCGCAATGAGTTTCTCAATAAAGCTATTAAACTTCATATTAAATGCACCAGTTCAGCTAGAATCTGGAGGTTTACTTGCATTGCCTGTGTTTATAGGGATTCCCTTTTTGTGGTGTCCTTGCAGAAAGGGGTTTCCCAAGGTTGTTGATTTGCTGGAGGTCTAGTAGTCGTCCGGTGTGACGTCTTGGTGAGCCAATCATTGGGCGTCGTTTGTTGAAGAATGTTGCAGAGTTGTGGGCTGGTTGAAGTTCACAGATGAGGTCGAACTCGAAGACACTGCTTTATGGCAAAACTTAACTCAGAACACGAAACTCTCATTGGAAAAGAAAAGAAAAATGTGAGAATGAAACCAGATGGCTTATCTCCTCATGATGGTAGAGGAGCAGCAGGCATGAAGGCCAGGAAGCCCAGCAGCCCAAAATGGTGACAAAGGCGCACTTGAACGAACAACATTCCAATGGTTACTGACACGACTTGTTCATGTCATGGGGTTTTAAACTCGGCTGTTAGACATATCCCTAATGGTGTTTTGACCAATTAGACATTATCTTAGCTAGGGGTGCTACTACATTTCTTCTCCCAATACATAAATCAACATGTTATCTTATTAGTCACATGGTCCGAATTTTCCCGCTCTTGCAGAGTATAATTTAGACTGGTTTCTATAACAAGAATCTGATACATATTACAAAGAATTGATTGATAGAAATGTTTCAAGTAGGACTTTTCACACACATGCATACCAAACTTGAATATAAACCTATAAACTATTCAATAGTTATTTAAAATGACTTTTTCCATGGGCTGTCTGAATACTTGATTCTGATTGGCTGGCAGGTATGCATTAAAACTTTTTAATGCACAGGTAGTTCCAAGTCACTTAAATCACCATTCTATATTAACGTGCTGCTTTAATTGATGCACACACACACACACACACACACACACACACACACATCACTCTCACATAAACACAGTGAGAGGGAGAGAGGTCGGAGATTGCGCTGAGCACACACAGAAACTTAGTGTCAGTGCTGCCCCGCAACTTTTATTAATAAAATAGAATAGATACAAGATCGCTACATTATCTTCCTCCGCAACGAGGTCAAATCGAAGTAACTAAACAGCTTCCTTGTTTGTAGTGAGAGACGCACGGCAAGCCGTTGATTATCCCTTACATAAACAATGAGTGATTAAAACGTGATAGTCAAATATGTGGGTTACATAGATGATATGGAGTTATGCAATGGAATGATATTTGTTCATAATTCCTTTTAGCATAATTTTGATGCATATATATATATCTGTAAAAGACAGTCTCTGTGCCATTCTGTGAATGTGAGGACATGTTTTGTGAGGAACAAAAGGTCAAAAGGTCACTGTCTTAAATGGGGGAAAGTCTTAACTAATGATTTTCCTCGTGGATTTACTCGTAATGGTCATGATGTGCTGTCTCCTTGACCATTAATCTTGATTACTATCCCCAAATTTGACAATCTCCTTCCTGAGTTGGAGTTATTAATAAGTGTTATTTGTTTTAATGTTGCAAGCTGTTCAAAGCTGCTAGTTAGTTAGACTTGGTTCAGACTTGCTGGCGCCCCAGGGTATCTGATTTACGGCCATCCATGTGGTTATCTTGGGCCTCTTTGTAGAATTTGGCTCTTTGTGTGGTTTCAACACTGTTCTGATCGAACCTTAATTGTCTGATTTGCTCTGATATCCTACAGCATATCTCACAATCGGATTGGCTGATCAGCTGACATACAGTTTTAATGCAACTGGCAACCGGGAGTAGGCTCCAGATTTGGGCTGCACCTGTTCCATGGATTTTCGCTCCAGTCAACAGATCATGGAACATGTTTTTGCATTAGTCCTGCATGTCCCTTTTGAACTGCTGCTGTGAGTTTATTTGAAATGTTGAAGCATGGGGTGACCCGCTGTTTAATTCATGACTGGGATGGTGGATTTTATTTCCATAACTTTCACATACCGTCAATATAAACTTATTACACAAACAGTTCTGCTAAACCTACACCTACACAGTTTTGCTCAGTTTTGATAGCTCATGGCTGGCTCCACGCAGGGATAGAAAACGTAGTTTTCTGGTTACCAGCCCTGAGCTTTACATAAGGGCTTTTTACACTAATTAACCCTGTGTCATTCTAAACCCGGGGTAAGCAAAATTAAGGATTATCTTTTTTCACATTTTACAGTACACTGCTCATAATTTTTCCAGGGTATTAACACTTAATCCTGGGTATTCATAAGCTGACATTTCAGACTTTAAAGGAAGGGCCAAGTATGGTGTCCCATACTTGGAATTTGTGCTCTGCATTTAACCCATCCAAGTGCACACACACAGCAGTGAGTAGTGAACAAACATGCACACACACACACCCAGAGCAGGGGGCAGCCAATGCTGCGGCGCCCGGGGAGCAGTTGGGGGTTCGGTGCCTTGCTCAAGGGTCTCACCTCAGTCATGGTATTGAGGGTGGAGCGAGTGCTAAATATGCACTCCCCCCACCTACAATCCCTGCCAGACCTGAGACTCAAACCCACGCCCTTCGGATTACAAATCCGACTCTCTATCCATTAGGCCACGACTGTCCTTTACATTCCCCAGGTAAAAAGTGTGAAATGTTCCTCTACCCAAGGTTAAAAGTAGGCTTTAGAACGATGATAACCCCGAGTTAAGCTCTATGTGAAAAGACATATAGTGAAGACAATCTTCATCTGTTAGCCATTTCAGCTTCATCATTTTCTCTTGTTCTTAGGTGGAGTGGTCGACAGCGTCACATGTGTCCAGCCTCATCTTATGCTGGAGCAGGACCTCCGGCACATTTCCTACGAGCTTTTCCACTCCTGCATGATCACCAGCTACAGCTACCTGTTCGCCAACATCCATTACCTGGACAATAAGCATCGCATGCTCAGCGGACAGCTCCATCCAAGCCCCAGAGCACCATTCGGGAGTGATTTCAGCCCCTCAGGAGAAGCGATACTCCCTGAGTGTGAGGCCAAGCAGAGATCCCGGCCTGTGAACTACAGACGCGCCATAGCCACAGTGGTTATCACGGGAGTGATTTGTGGAATTGTGTGTTTGATGATGTTGGCAGCAGCTGTCTACGGATGTGCATATGCAGCAATTAATGCCAAGTATCAAAGGGAGCTGAAGAAGAAAGCAAAAGAGACGGGTTCAGGAGACAAGCGGAAAAACATTGAAAGAGAGAAGGACAAGGAACCTCTGGAGTGACGCGAAGATCGGCATCACATGATGCACATGAGCACAAATACACACCAAGGATACACTTCAGATTATCCACATACTGTAAAGTTCCTTTTAAGGCAAGTCAGTGTACTTGGCAGCCATATTGGCAATGCCCCTGGGGCAGCTATTTTCTAATTATGCAGATACAGATCCTACCTGAAAGGGGAAAGACATAAATCTCCAAAACTGTCCATCAAGATTTTGTTTCAATTGCATGGTTCTATTTTATTTTTTATTAATTTTTTTATTATTTATTTAATATTTTTTTAGCTTAAATTAGGCTAGAAAAAAATAATTTTTCAGGCTGGTCAAACAAATGCACATGCATGTTCTAGACTAAAAACAACAGCCGATACTTTTGGCAAAAAGGCAGTTGGCTCTTTGTCAGTCAAAACAAACAGTCATTCTGTTTTTTAGGACAAGTTCATAGAATTTCAACCACTTTTGTATTAGTGGTAAATGTCAATTAGCAATGAGTACTCTTTCTCCATGTTACCTGCACCTAGTGCATTATGGGTGCTGAATTATCCCTACCAAAAGGCAACACCACAGCCCTTTTTCTCCGTTTTCTCTAGTCATGTAGCAAACAAACAAATAAACAAAAAAGCAACACCTTCCTACTGCATAAATAGCCAAGTTTTATTAAAAGCTCATCTTGCCAGCAGTAAATTATCCCTTTAATTGTCCAGCACAATGCTGCCAGCCAGCTCACAGTTTATGGCCTAATACAGATTTCAAACTTATTTGAAGGCAAAGAAAACTGCCTCTCTCCCTTGTCACAATTATTTTATTTATTTAATTATTTTTTCAGTACTGTGCACATCTTTGTGAAATCAACTGCAAATGGGGAGGAGATTGATTGTGTAGTTAAGACACAAAGTCCCTGATTAGTTCTGTAAACGCCATAAAAAAAAAAAGAATGTTTGATTGTGTGCAGGGTGACAAGCTTTCATGTTTCAGGTGTAATCCCTTGAATAAACTGAACAACAGGACGTCCATTCCCACAGCTCTCGTATTGAGAAATGTAATTTTGCCTATTGATTTTTCTACTCTAGAAACGTAAATGTACTCTATCTCTGCCCCTTTGTACAGTCTTTTAAAACGATAATACTGAAAACTGAGGGGACACTCCCCTACTGCTGTTTACACTATTGCAGCTCTATGGACAAAGCAATATCAATTCCCACTGAGCTTTAGTTAGGCCAAAGATTTATGTGAGCATATCAAACGTATGTGTTTTAATCTATCCTGTGTCACCTGTTTCCCCTTTGTTCCCCTTAACGGGGCGGGGGGTGGGGGGAAGGCTGATTCTAATACAAGTATTGCGATTCTGCTCGTGACACAGAAATTACAGTCACACAGAAGGTATTTACAGTCTACTGCATAATTTAAGATCTTTGATAAAAAATATGATAAAATATGATGAATGGACGATTCCTATCAGTTCATAATTAGGTCATGTAGACAGATCCTTATATCAGTGTGCTCTATTGAATAAGCAACCATGTAAATATACAGATACAGACAGTGGATAAAGAGATTCTGAGCTCTTGAGAAATGAGATGACAAGAAGGAAATAGTGATACAGATGGAATATACAAGATTATATAAATGTGCATGTGAAGGGTTGATCTGTCAGAAATGATCTATGTATGTTATACAACATCAGAGCACACAGCTAAGCAATATACTGTACATTGGTAAAGTTTACATGTCCTGCAGTGCAACATGCTAAAATAATTTTAAATAACATTGTGTTAATTCCTTTTTTATTATCATAAAGCAGTCTTTAAGATAAACGTTTTTTAGAAAGTACACTGAATATTCATACTCTTAAAAATACATTGGTCACACACCCACACGCCAGAAAAAAATGTAATTAAATTTTAATTTCATGCTATGGCTGTCATCAAGCACAAATCACATTCAAGTTGTGATTATAGGTAGAAATCTGTAAACTGGCCTTTAAAACACATCAAGGACATGCACACATGCCCCGGTTACACAAGAGTGTTCTGTCATCAGCATGTCAGGCTGCATTAGTGTGTGCTGCAATGCACTTGTGAAACTGCGCAGTATCACATCTAAAGCACTGTATGAACATATATATATATATATATATATATATATTCTTTTCAAATCAAATCAACCAACACTCATTGAGCCAGAAAGTTCAAATTGTCATATATCTGTGGTATATGTGTATGAGCTTGTATGAAAAAAATGTTGTTAAATGTGTTCATTAGTGATTCGCATTAAAGCATAACAATGAAAGATGTAAAAGATACATCAAATTTAAAATATATAAAATAAACAACATGAAATACTGTATAGAACTTGATTTTAGTTGTGTGTATGTCTGCTCCAGCAAAACAATGAATCATGCGCAGTAGAGGGTGAAAATCTATCTCTTCTACTTCATTTCTCTGTCAGTTATAACATGAATCATTTGTGCATGAGCGTATGTGTGTGAGTGCTCCTCCAGGCTTATGTTCAAGCATACACGTTCTAATTGTCTCTCTGTGTTATTCTCTTTCCTTTCATCCATTCCTACTGTTTGTGTAGTGTTTCTTTTTGCTCACATGGATTATGTCTTTAGCTCTCCATCTCACAATCCCTCTCATATATAAACACTTCCAGTGCACAGAAAAAAAACACAACAACAACAAAACCGTATGATTCTGTAAAATAAGCAGTGATATTCATGCGAGTGTGGTACCTGCAGCGATGGGCGACTCTCTCTCATCCAACAATTGAATGGTGCTGCTGGCCAAAACCACACTCTTATTCTCAGAGCCTGAAACACAGAGATACAGAGCATTGTCAACAAATGGTATAGAGGAGACCAGGCCAGCACTTTCTGTTTTAATGTGCAGCTATGTGTTTCTTGTGTTCTACTGATCTCAAATCATTGTCTGGAACACTAATACGAGATTTTTTTAAATGCTGTCTGTCATTTTGACAGTTAACACATTATATTTCCCTGCTTTAGAAGCATTCAAGTAAACACTGCTGATAGGGATTCGAAGTGAAGAAGGCAAGAAACTAGCATTTTCTTTTATTACCTTTATTTCTTTTATTAAATTACATTAAGTGCACATGTGAAAACATCAGGAACGAGACCTGAATGAGGATTTGGGAAGAAAATGAGACATTCATTGCAGTGCATTCCAGGGAATTTTCCATACTGCTACCACAAGAGTGTGGTGTGTGTTGTCTATTCCACAGAAAAGCGAAAAAGAAAATGAGGAGAAACAGAACTCACCAAATTGAAAAGAGACTTTGTCACATATATTCTTTTGATACCAATGTCAAATTAAAATGCCAAGCACTAGATTATGTTCTTGACAGAAAATTTACAGTTCATTCAGTCAAATGGGCAGATAAGGATTATTTGCAACATTATTATTTAAAAGGATCTGTTTCAGTCTTTTTGAGTGGAAGTTCCTCAAATCATAAATGTCATCCATAATTTAAAAGGCAGTAGACTCGTTTGGGAAAGGGTTGATACGATTGCTATTTAATTTAATAAACTGCAGAACTACTACTGTAAACAATGCTGTAAAACTAATAATTATCATCCATGAATATTCTGTAAATTCACTGCATTTTTAGAGTGTTCAGTTAAGATGAATGGTAAATAATCCATTATTTATCCCTAACAAATCATTCTCTAAGAACGCAATCTCACGCATTATTACTCCACTAATTATGCAGTGCAGTATACTTGGTTTAAGGGGGAGGAGATGGAGGTCTATCTAAAAAGATATGTCCATGCAATAATATATATTTCAGAGAGCAAAATAAAAAATGTGATGCAGCCATTCCCATAGGAAAAATGTATTGCTCAGTGGTTGCTTTTCCTAAACTCAGGAGACTTAGATGAGATTCTCATATATCTCTCATTTTAGTATCAACAGCATTTCAGATGTTTCTCCTAAAATTCCTTAGGAGAAACAGAAGTAGGCACAAATGAGACTTGAGAAATATTTGAGAAAATAAGAAAACCCATGTGGTCTGAGGTTCAGATATGCCTTCATGTCGATGTGCTGCCCACAAGGCTATGACTCTGACAGAGGTTACTCTCCACTCAAGAGTACTAAGCGCTGATTCTCTTATATGTCTCATTAAGATATCAGCTGTGTCTTAAAATGTCTTCAGTTTTATTTTAGGAGAAATGTTAAACTTTTACTAATATTGTAAATACTAAAACTATCATTTAAATAGCATTAAACATTTCAGAATACCAAGGGTTACTAGTTTAAATGTTTACATTTATCTTAAATGCCCAGCATTATATACACCACATTTTCCAAACACATTAGAAAGGACTTACAAGTGCAAGATGTTTAGTATAAGAGCAAAACCTTTTTTTTTAAACAAATGTAACACTAGTGTCCCAGTGTTTCTTTCTTTATTTTTTTCTTTCTTTTATTTTTTTGCTTTGTTTAGTATTAAAATGTTGTCTTGTGCAACCCATTTTTGCATGTATGTAATTATAGGTTATGGTTTCCTCTGTTAAATCATTGTGCATTAAAACACTGTCTACATAAAAACAACTTCAAATATGACAATGCATGTATTTTCTTTGATTTAAATGGTGTGGATAAATGACATTGAAGCTAACCAGGGGGAAGAAAAGTAAAATAAAAAAGAGATCTCTTTAACATCTCAAATATTTCTCCTAGACAGAAATTAGGTGACTTTAAGATTGAATGGAAACTTTTGCTTGAGTCTCCTGCTTCTCAAACTTGTCTCCTGAGACAAAAACTCTAACATTCTCACAATGGTCTCCTTTAAAGCTTTAGAAGAGATCTCAACAACATCACACACTGTGCTCAGATATTTCTCCTTAGCTAGAGACTCTGGATGAATATTGTAAATACACTTTATTTATTCATTCTACATTTGTCATTGTCTCATCTTTTTAAAACACTTATTTTACCTCGCACAGTTTAATCTGACCCCATTTTAAATCGCTAGCGATTTAGATTAAAGGATGCGATTTCAAGTTTTCCTTTCTCTTCAGAATCAGAATCAGAATCAGAATCAGGAAGAGCTTTATTGCCAAGTATGTTTGCACATACAAGGAATTTGTTATACTA